TATTGAAATGGATAAAACGAGATTCAGGACAGGTTGTCTTGGACATTTAGAATTTTTCTTTTCTTTTTTTTTTTTTGAAATGCAGTCTTGCTCTTGTTGCTCAGGCTGGAGTGCAGCAGTGCAATCTTGGCTCAGGGCAACCTCTGCCTCCTGGATTCAAGTGATTCTCCTTCCTCAGCCTCCCCAGTGCCTGGGATTACAGGTGCCTACCACCACGCCTGGCTAATTTTTGTATTCTTAGTAGAGATGGGGTTTCACTTTCTTGGCCAGGCTGGTTTCAAATTCCTGCCCTCAGGTGATCACCCACCTGGGCCTCCCAAAGTGCTGATTACAGGTGTGAGGCATCATGGACGGCAAGGAATTTAGAACTAATGCAAAGACAATCACTGTCAATTCTTGAGTTGGGAACCTAAACAAAGTGAATTATGTAAAATATTATTTCCTCAGAGTATTTAGGTACTAAATTAGGAGATTGCTGAAATAAGCCTCAAAGGGCTCATATAATAAATAACTGCCAGAAAGTATGATTGAAAACAAACAAGTCAGCTATGGGCCAATCACAAGGTCAGGAGATCAATACCATCCTGGATAACATGACAAAACCCTGTCTCTACTAAAAATACAAAAAATTAGCCAGGTGTGGCAGCAGTCACCTGTAGTCCCAGCTACTTGGGAGGCCGAGGCAGGAGAATCGCTTGAACATGGGAGGCAGAGGTTGCAGTGAGCACAGATCTTGCCACTGCATTCACCAGGTGACAGAGTAGACTCTGTCTGAAACAAAACAAAACAAAACAAAATCCGTTGGGCCACTGTGTGATTTCACAAAGATATTTTTCAAGGGAAAATGGAATAGGTGCTGCTGAAAAGGATAACATAATTAAATAGGTTAAAAATTGGGCAGTGGCTGTGACAGCTTAATTCTGATGGGGTTTCCTCTTCAGCCAAGTTCTGGCTTTATCATATAAAAGTGTACCAAAAAAATATAACCAAACAGGTATCAAATCTCTCTTACCTCCAATTGTCCCTTTGAAAGTTGAAGTTATACAAATAAATAACAATTAGCATATTCTTTCTGTTCACATTCTCCTTGAATGCATTGTTAAGTCAATTTCAAGGACTGTTTTTCACTTCATTGTTCTTGTTTATGTTTCACTATAATGCTTTATGGTAACTCATCTGCTGTTAATCCTCTATTTTATGTGAAGCAAAATCAGTTTCTCCCATAGCATTTTATTCATAACTCTTATAGCACTTACCATGGTAACGACAATTACCAATTTACACCTTTACTAGACTATAAACTTCTTGAGGTCAAGAACTGTGCTCATTTCATCTATAATAAGAGTCTGGCAAATAAAATAAGTCAATAAATTAATGTTTCTGATATAGATATCTTCTGCGAGTCTATCAAAGATAGACCCTTTGAAAGTTGGACATAAACACCATTCTCTAATGAATTCTAGATGGCTCTGATGGTTTTCTGAAGGTTTTCTCTATCGTTTATTGAGTACTGTTGGCTCTGTAAAATAGGATAAATATCATAAGTGAAAATGATAAGGAAAAGTTTAAAAAGAGCAAAACCAGGCAATAATAATGGTTTAGAATTAAATGAGTTACACTTCAAGTGATTTTCAAGGAAATTTGATATTTTAGATATGTGAAAAGTAAAAATAAACTCGAATTATCCTAAGTACAGTTTATGAATTTTGATGAAAGCATGTCAAAATTTCTATGGCATTTATACATTTCAATGGATAGGGGCTCCAGAGACAAATTCAAAATACAAACTAAAAGTTGTCCTATTAGAATAATAAATTACTATTGCTATAATAAAATAACATATAATAAATGTCTATCTGACATCTCACTTTACAAATTATCACACAAAATAATTTGATAATATGAAATTTGAGACTTTATAAAATTTGGACACTATGGTTAGCTAAATACAGACATTAAACAAATACATAGTTACGGACAGTATCATTGAATATATAAAGGATAATTACATTTCTAAGACATATTCTGGATCAACTAATTTAAGATCACAGAAAGCAATTTTATTTTCCCAAATCAATTCCAAAAAGCTTTATGGAAAATATCAGGAGATATATGTGATCACTTAAGGACAGGGATGGCCGGGGACCATGTGATTCTCATTACATCTGGTGATGTAACAACTGGCCAGATGTCACTGAACTGAAGTTTTCAGCATTTTTAAACACAGAAATTTTCCTTCGGGTGTGTATTCTTTATTTCTTTATACAAAAGTACTAAAGATAATATCATAGAACTTCAAAACAGACACATTTAAGGATGCTAATCAGATTAGTGTCATTAAAGAAAAACAAGTTAATTACTTTTTGTGGCATTTAGTCATATTGCAGTTTATAATATCTAAATGTTTCCTTCTGGTTCTATGTCTCCCTAGCCAGACTGGAAGTTTCTGGAAAGCAGGCCTCTTCCCTGTACCTAAAGTAGTCCCGTGGATTCTACCACCTACATGTCTACAGTCATCTTCTTTCTAGCCCCATGAGCACTGTCCTGCTTTATCTCCTCTATAAATGATTGCCAACAGCATTTTTACTGTTCTCCAAAATCTTACAATATAGCTAGGGAGACATGGAAAACCAAATGGAAATATTAAAATAATATAAAATGTTATGCAAACATATAAAAATATAATATATAAAAATAACTGCTATTTTTCTCTTGAATTCTGACATTGTATTTATAGCTCTCCTCCCATCTCTACCTATATTTTGACTTTGAATTATAATTATTAAACTGCACACACAGACTGCCTACACAGAGGGCTGGAGGGGCCAATGTTGCATGAAAATACAGGATCTTAAGTTTTGTTTTGTTTTGCTTTGCTTTCTGAAATTACAGTGGAGTACATGGAAGCTACAACAAAATGCAAAGTTTTAAGGTCTCCTGCGTGATTCGTGTGGATGCACCAGGCTTTACACATGCCTAATAAAGCGTGAAAAAGTCTGATTACAAAGTGTGATGTTGCAGTGGGAAGAGAAGGAAACCTTCAGGTAAGCTAGAGAATTGCGGCAGGGGTGAGGTGGGGGGGCGGTGGTGGTGGTGGTGACTATTTTCTTTTAGAAAAGCGGGGAGATTTTAGAGAAAAGAGGGAAAGCAGGGAGCAGCTGTTTAGGCCACAGTCCCCTGCCAGGACTGCAGGGATCTAAGTGTGAGCAGTGGGCTTAATCCAGAGATGAGCAGAGAAAAGGTGCTGAGTGGTCCAAGTCACAGGCCAGGAAAAAGAGGCTAAAGGAAAACAGGAATAAAATTCTTGTTTCGGGGTGGGGAGCACAGAAAAAGGGCTAGAAATGGTGACGGGGTTATCTGACTTTTGGGTATTTGAAGACTGGACAGCCTTGAAGAACAAGGTTAGCAAGGGATGCTATTAAAGATAAAGGAATTACTTACAATGGGGCTTCTTAAACTTTAATGCACAGAAGAATCATATGGAGATATTGTTAAAATGCAGATTCTAAATCAGAAAGGCTGGCGTAGAGCCCAAAAACCTGCATTTCTGAAAAGCTTCTAGGTAAAGCTTTGCAGCTTTGAGTGGCAAGGTTTTGCAATATTAAACATGGACACTTAAAACATTTTTAGCCGGGTGCGGTGGTTCACGCCTATAATGCCAGCATTTTGGGAGGCCGAGGTGGGTGGATCACGAGGTCAAGAGATTGAGACCATCCTGGTCATCCCCATCCCTACTAAAAATACAAAAATTAGCTGGGCATGGTGGTGCACGCCTGTATTCCCAGCTACTCGGGAGGCTGAGGCAGGAGAATTCCTTGAACCCAGGAGGCGGAGGTTGCGAGGAGCCATTGCACTCCAGCCTGGGTAACAAGAGCGAAACTCCATCTCAAAAAACAAAACAAAACAAAACATTTTTATATGCTGGGTATGATGGCTCACACCTGTAAACCCAGCGCCTTGGGAGGCTGATACAGGTGGATTGCTTGAGCTCAGGAGTTTGAGACCAACCTAGGTAACAAGACAAAACACTCTCTCTACGAAAAATACAAAAATTAGCTGGGCATGGTGATGTGTACCTGTAGTACCAGCTACTTGGAGCTGAGGTGGGATCGCTTGAGTCTGGGAAGTGGAGGTTGCAATGAGCTGAGATGGTGCCACTGCACTCCAGCCTGGACAACAGAGCAAGCAAAAACCACCACCAACAAAACAAACTAAAACCATTTTTTATAAAATAAATCAGTCAATGAATTTGTGCTTCCCAGTATACATATCTTCTGTGGGTTTATCAGAGACTTATGCATCAAATATCAAAGATAGTTACAAAATTATCTTTCCTTTTACCCTTAGTTAATGAATGGCAATGGAGAGAGAATCCACAGTGCTCCAGTTCACACCAATAATATATTTGAGAGCATAATCATTGTTATAAGTCTACTTTAATAATGAGATAACTACTTTTGTTATTTACAACAACACATTTGGCCATTAACATATCCAAGAAAACACCCTGTGATGACAGAAATATTCTATATTTGGATGTCCAATATGATAGCCACTAACCACTTGTGGCTGCTGAGCATTTGAAACATGGCTAGTATACCTAAGGAATACACAGCCACATACAGCTAGTGGTTACCATGATCATCAATATCTGCTAGCATCACCCAAAGACAACCAGATGCAATTCACTTCCAGATTGAAGTAGTCTTCCTACCAAGGCTCTAGATTTAGCAACCAATTTACAAAACAGACTCCAGATGTCCCCAGACCCTGCTCTAAAAATTGGTGGTATAAGGCAACTTAGGTACCTGAGGCCCACAAAAGGCAGCTGATAACAGCCAAGGAATTCAATTCTTTATCTAAAAGTAGGATTCTCCTGTTAAATCATTCTCAAAAGTAGTAACGACTTGAAAGTCTATCCCACCAAATATCCCACCATTGAGAAATTATGTATAACACACACACACACACACACACACACACACACACACACACACAGCCATGCACACAGAATTTTGAAGGAGAGGATGATATGGGTTTGACCTCGAGCCATGCCTTTACTACTGTGTAACCTCTGGGACCTCTCTGATCTTGTTTGCAAGTCACTTTGTAAATTGGAGTTAATAATAATACCTACTGGCCAAGGGTGTTAGGAAGGTAAGTTCCTGAAGGGCAATGTACTTTTTAAATGTAATCCTGTTGTAATCCTATACAATGGTTAATTAGCAGTCATTAAAAGAGAAGGCAATGCCATACTTGAAGCGAAATCCAAGGAACCAACCTATAATCTTTTGTTGTACCAAATTTGTATTGCATGTGGTCTTGGATTCTTTTATGACGGGTATTTCAATCCTTCATATTTGTTGTAGTGGGATATAACCTTTAAAGAATGAGCATTCTAAAGCCATTTGGAAGAATAATGGTAAGTGCTTTATTTAGCAGTGTAGGGTCTGGTAAGCATCCTCCCTGCTAAGATTATACAGAAAATAAAGGAAATTGCAGCCTGCTCATTTCCCTTGTACTCATCCTAATCTTGTGGAAACTTCCTGTAAAAGGCAGTTATAGCACTAAAAGTAAACTGATTTCACACTCACCGGATACTACCAAGCCAACAATTGCAGTCCTTAGGGATAAAAGGAAAATAGCATACTTATCCTTTATACTTTGTATTAGTTTGAAAGAACATGGAAATCCTAGTGATGGAGCAGCAGACTCATGCCAGAGGCAAGGAAACTATTTAGAAACATGGTTACCACTTAGTAATTCCACTGAGAGGCAGGGCTCATTAGCCCTGAGACTGGTTAAACTAAAAAAAAAAAACAACAACAAAAAACATTTATTAAACAAAGTACACCATGAAAGTAGGGAGCTTCCATTGATCTATGCATACATTAACTCGTTTTAAAATACAAAGTTTTAATTACATCTGCTAAGGAGTAATGTTAAGGGTAATTTTAGAAATGCAAATGTGCACTTGTATTTTATGTACTTTTAGAAACTCACATGTTGGCCTGGTTGTCTTTTGGCTTCTCAAGAATACAAATATCTGCTGAGAGCTTATAGTACAAGGCACAGTGTATGTGAAATGCTAAACTGCAGTAGTATTAAATCCCAATGGGAAGCCAGAGAGGATTCCTGATTTCTACTCCAGTGTGAGTCAGTACAGCTTCCTTTTTATACATAATCCAGGCCTTGGCATAGTGTTTCACCTAAAAAGCATCTATTACTTAAAACCACTGCTAAAAAGGATGCCAAAAATATGAAGGGCAGCCTCTACCTTCCAGTCACGAAAATTTAACTCGGAAAACAAATATAAACTCATAAAAAATGAATCAGCAATAATATAATAATAATTAGCAACACAAGTGTAAACAGCAAAGGGAAAAATAATCTGAGAAGACCAAGTCTGAATTCATAAGAAAAATGATTACTATGGCCTGAGCAATGTGAAAAAAAGAAAAGAAACTGATTTGGAGAAGGGCATGTCATCTGCCAGCGTCTCAGTGAGAATAGCCTACATTTTGCTGTCCTTGTGAAGAAACCCTGGTCTGATACCTACAAGGAACTCAGAATCCACTTGTGCCTTTCTTAACTTGGATCAGATCCTATACTGGCAATTACTTGGCAATTGTGCTCCTGTTCCTCCCTCTTTGGCCCAATTATGCTATTGATAATTAATTACTTCTAACAGGTCATCAAACGGTTGTGACTAATTCCTAAAGCTGAGCACAATAATACAGATAGTTGTGATAACCGGTTTTGTGACTAGCTTCCTTCCCACAGGTCCACCTACAAAACACAACTGAGCATATATAAGTATTTCTTTTCTTGCTGAGCCCTAATGTGGCCATGGAATTCTTCTTGACTAGTACTAATTGAACGGAGTTGGCACTTAAGACAGAACTGTGATCTGTATTTAGATTCTCACATAGCTTTTCAAGTTTGGCTGGATCTACCTTTCTGAACTGAACTAGCCCTCTGGCCTTGATCAGTATCTATCTAAGCTTATGATATACCATGGGCTACCCTTTTCTGTGTTGCTGGAACACAGCTTTCAATCAGGGATGTGCTGGGGGACGAGATGACAAAAATGGTTGCAAGGAAATGGGGAGTAGACAATGAAGGACTAAAAAGGGCCAAGTACCTAGCAGACTTAGAAAAGCACGGTTGGCCCCATTACAGACCTAGTGATCACAATTTCTGAGCTGAGGTCTAGGAATCTGCATTTTAAGTAAGTACTTGCAGTGTATTTTAAAAAAATTGTTACAGAACATTTTAAATTATAAAATAGTAAACAGAAGGTGTTCATCATTAATCTATAATCAATCTTGTTTCATCTATATCCTTACTCATTCTTCCTATGCCTCACCCCAGTGGATTATTCTGAAGCATAACATTTCATCTCTAAATATTTTAGGGTACATATTTCTGAATGGTAAGGACTTAAAGAAAACACAGCCATAAACCAATACTTAAAAAAGAATTCCTTGTTATCATCAAATCTCCAGTTAATGTTCAAATTTCTCCCGTTGTCCCAAATTTAAAAATATTTGTTCAAGTCACGATCCAAATAAGGCCTCACACATTGTCTTTGGTTACCATGCCTCTTTACCTCCTAAGGTCCAGACACCCAGATAGATCAGTTGAGGCCTCTATAGAGCCGCCAGTGATTGACAGACTAGAAGATCTCTTGGCTCTAAGCAGTAGCACCATTTCTGACTGCTTCAGCATAGAAGACTTTGAGCTCTGCCAAACTAAAGCAATTAAAGAAAAAAAGTTGGTAAGATCTTTAGCAACTGGGTCAGAGAATGGGTACAAAAGTGTCCTAGATATGGCATGGAACCACCAAAGTCTGAATGGTTTGGAGACTATGTCTCGGTTATGGAGTTGAGAGCAATCTTTAAAGCATTAATTTGGGCTATTGGTCATATCTTGCTCCTTTTATGTAAGTAATGTGTGTGGAAGTAGCCAGCACAGTGCCTGGCTCATGATGACCAAGATGGTTTTCATATCTTCTCCCAAAGACTGTACTGGCTATTTCCTTGATACACTAGAACCTCGAACAGATGCAAATCTTCAAAAGAGAAAGGCCTTTGCAAATGACCAACTTTCCTTGTATTTACTTAATCATAATAATTGTGACGATTTCATTTATTGGTGGCTTACTGAGGACCAGGTCATGTGTCTAGCAACTGACAGTTATTTGTTGAATGAATGAACAAGAATACTGGATGCTTTACATTTAATCCTCAAAACACTTGCCACTATTTTACCATGGGGTTTCTTACTATCTCTGACAAAATAATAGTAAGAGCTAAGACTTAATAGAGTTCTTACTGTGAATTCTTAATCTGTTCTAAGTAACTATGTATATTATTATCTCGTTCATCAGCACAACAGCTCTATGAGTTAGGTACTATTATCCCCATTTTATACAGGCCCAGAGTTTTAGTAACTTGCATAAGGACACAGATTATACCTGATGGGACTTGATTGAAACTTGAGCAGTCTAACTGGTTAACAGTAGTCCTGGAAGGGGAAGAGGCCAGTTATCAACACTCTCACGTATAGGTTCTTCACAAGAATAAGTTCAAAAAGGCAGGTGTAGAGCTCATGTCTAGTCTAGATCGCCGTTTCTCATCACCAACATTGCCCCTTTCTTTCTCGGAGTAAGGACAATGTCGCTGATGAGGCAGGAAGCAAGTTACATAATCAGACCTCAGAAATCAATCGGGTGGTTTTGGGGCACACTGACTGGTTTAGCGCCTTTGTTCATTCGTTGAACATTTATTAAGCACCTGCTACATGCAAAACACTGTTATCAGTGCACTACTGTGCACGCTCATTCTCAGAACAACAATCCTGCGTTTCCTAGAGGGATGGCAGAAGAGTGCTGCCTTGTTGCGAGGTTCTCTCAACTTCATTTCTTCCTCGACAATTGTTCTCTCCAATGTGGCACCGGCGGCAACCTTCATTCTTAGCTCGCACAAACCTGAGAAGGAAGAGAAAAACATTGCACGCAGGGCTAGACTTAAATCCGGGAAGATGCATCAGGAACTTGGGAGCGCTTGGGATTCAGTCCCCTAGGCCGGTTCATGTAAAGGCTGGTTTTCTAAATAGAGAAGAGATAATAGAATTTGCAGAGCCAGGAGCTCTGACTCCTGTGGCTGGGCTGACCTTAGGCTCCAGCCCACAACCCCAGTAGATTTCTGTGCAAAAACCTTTTGAGATGAATGCATACATTGTCCTCTAACAATGCATTCATGACAGCTGTCTATCCAATCGGTCCGCCTCCGTTCGGTGCAGTTCGTGCCATAGAAGCATCTCCTGCGGTATAGTTATGCAACCTCACTCGCAGCGGGAGTTATTTCCTCCGTTCTGGCTGCGCCAGATTCATGTAACACGCCTACCCTGGGCTTCAATGGAAGTCGTTCTCCATTAACAATCACTCCAGCTTTCGGAGATGAATGCCCTGACAGCATACCCCTTACGCAGTAAGAATCCAGGCAGGGAGGCGAGGTGTTAAAACACACACACACACACACACACACACACACACACACACACACACACACACACAAATCGTGCATGCAGCTAGGGAACTGCAGCAATGCAACCCGGGGGACGGCAGGAGGAGCTCTTTTTGCACAGTCCCTTCTTCTAACCCCCACTAACTAAAGATGAACTCATGCCAGTTCCATTCTTTGCTCTGCAAGGAAACACACAAACACACACACACACACACACACACACACACACGGCAGAAGAGAGTAGTATCCAGATTTCCCCTCTGAGCACACTGTCTTTCTAGCCTCTTCGTTCAAGCAACCCGGATATTCCAAGCCAGTAACGGGGAGTAACGCGCCACAACAATGCAACCTCCCATGCAGCTCCTCTCGCAGCTCCCACCCCCGCCCCCTTTCGCGGCGTGCCAAGAGTTTGGAGGGCGCGCACGCACACCAAGCACAGTGCAGGAAGGATATCCCTCCGCCCCCCTCCCCCCTTTCCCCGCTAAGTGGCTCGACTACGATTTGGGAAATGAAGGGAGGAGGGAACTACTTTCCTGAAACTTGCTATGCTGCACACGACTTCGAGTTGCAGTGATTCGCGCGGAGGCCGCGGCTTTTAGTCCTACCCACACACCCTCACGGCCCGGGCACCCCACTCGGCAGCCCCACCCCGTGCCCGCTCTGGCCACCGAGGGAAGCGGGCGGCCGGGAGAAGTCGCGAGGGACTACTTCGCCTCCTTCTCTCGCGGGCGCCCCCGGTTCGGGCAGCGGCGGCGGAAGGAGCGGGCGGCGTGAGCGCTTCCGCCGCCCCCCTAGCGGCTCTCCTCTCTCAGGCGTGAGGAGCTGGCCCGCTGATCTGCTGGTGGGCACCGGCTGGCGAGGGACCTGCGGCCGCTCTTCTTTCCCGCCGCCTCTCGGGATCCTGCCCCCCGACCCCGGGCCCGTCTGCTCTTCTCCGGCCGGGTGGGAGCGATCGGCTCGCCTGCCTCTCGCCTCACACGCTCCCCGCCGCCCCCTCCTCCCCCCTCAGGAGGAGTCCCGGCTGGAGCGTGTCTGGAGGAATCCGCCGCCGCGGGGCCCCTCGCCCGGCTGTGCCCGCGCCTGAGGACCGACCCAGGCGTCGCCGGGGGTTGAGGGGCCGCCGGCGGCGAGGCGGGAGATGGTGGGGTGGGCTCCGGCAGCACCGCGCCGCCGCTGCCCGGAGCCTGGGCTCGGCAACCCCCCGCCGGCCCCCACCAAGTGGAGCTCTGCTTCCTCCTCGCCGCATCCCTGAGGGAAGCGCCGCCTCTGCTCCCGGGTTCTCTGCCTGCTGGCTCCTTCCTGGCCGGACCCCGCTGCGCTCCACCCCAGTGGCCGGAGGAGCCGCTCTCCAGTCAGCCTTTGCAGCCCCCTGTCTTTTTCCCTTTCCACCGGGCCTCCTCGGATCCCTTGTTGGGCGCTGAGGCAGGGGAAGAGGCTGGGGTCGCCACGGCGGAGGTTGCTGCCGCCACCCCCCTGCGGGGGTGGCCGGGGTTCCCGGCTGGGGGGGCACCGCTCTGGGTGAGGCATCCACCATGGTGAGGCCCCTGTGCCGCTGCCCCCGCGCCCCCCCGGCCGCCGCTGCCGCCTGCCCCTCGGTGCTGCTGCTGCTCCCCCGCCTGCTGTTGCTCCTCCATCTCCAGATCGGATCACGGTGAGGGAAAGATGAGCGAGGAGACGGCGACTTCTGACAACGAGTAAGCGCCTCATTGATCTCGATTGCTAATCTCCCTCCCCCACTCCGCCCTCGGCTCTCCCCCAGAGCCCCCCGAGACTTGGGTGCCGGAAAGCTTGGGACCCTAGAGAGTTCGGTGCATCTTGTTCTGGAGTTAACTGATTTCTTTAGCCATTTTTAGTGGCAGCACCCCTCCCCACCCTCCCACATTTAGTTGCTTTCTTTTGGGGAAGGGTATTAAGTGTTGGCAGAGGATGGCAATTGTACGTCCATGAGATGGAATAATGTGGATGGATGGAAGTGGAGTAGAAACTACCCCTTTGCCATTTGACCCGTGTCCCCTCCCTTTTCACTCACATACCAGTCACCATACCTTCAGTATCCATCCTGCTTCCTTTATAGCTTGTTTCACTTGGAAACTAATGTGTGGGAGCACCTCCTGTAGCAAACTGCTCTTGAATCTTAATTCGATGAGTCAGTGACTCTTAAATACCGTTTAAGCCTTCACTCTCTCCCCCTCCCCCTTTTAAACTTACGACCTATAGATTCTTGTAAAAATAGGGTTAGGGAAACATTTTAAGAATTTAATAGGATTAAGGACACCTGGAGTGTGGGAGATGTTGAGCTAGTTTACCTTTGTGAATACTGGACGTGTCTTCTGGAACGGAGAAGAATTTTGAATGCAAATTTTTACCTTTCAGCTATGTTTACGTTGATTTAACGGAATTTACGTTGCTGAATATGTTGGTGATTTCATCAGCTTCTAGAGCATTCCAGTTTAAGTTTTTGCCTATTTGGGCTTTCTCCTTGCTTTCAAAACGAAATACTTCGTCTTTTAAACGTTTAGCTTTAACCTAACAGCTGCGTGGAGAAATAATGGTTGGCAACACTTTTGTATTGAGAAGGGATTTAATTCCAAGCAGAATATTAGCATCCGTTTTCTTGTAATTAAGTTCAACTTTTGTTTATCTTTAGTGGGTTGGAAAGAGTTAAATGAGTTAGGGCTTAGTCCTTTGGATGCATTCCTTTAAATACAGTGTACTACTGAAGTCAGACCTTTTTGAAAGAACTTTATAAAGCCTAGTGCCGAGTCCTGTTTAACATAAAATAGCTAAAGAAAGGCCAAGCAACGTTTCCTACCCCCTCGCTCCCTCCCCACCCCAAAACACACGCTTCTGCTGAGCGGGTGTAGAAGGAGGTACTTTGCTGCAGTGTCAGTGCAGTGTAGAAGCAGAAGTGGCAGCCATGTTCTCTCTCTTTTTGTGAATCGCCCTCATTTGCATAGCACACTCTTCATTCATAAAAAAAATAATTAAACAGCCATCACCTTGGACATCTTGAAAGGATTTCCCAAGAAAAAAAATTCGCAGTTTGTTTGTCTGCGTGTAGATTTTTGAGTTCAGAAGGTAAGAAGAATGTGAAATTTTAGGTCACATTTAAAAAACATAGGCACACACAAACAACTACCCCTGTTCTGAGACTGTTGACACAGTTATGTGGGAAATATCAGTTCGGGGAGGTGCTGGGATCACGTGATCGCCTCCATTCATAAAATACCTGGCTGTCCATTCACAGTGCAGTACAGTGTCTCCCTGCCTTCTGCAGATTAGACCTACTTTGAGGGAGATCAAGAAATCTATCTCAGATAATGGTTCTTTAGGATAAAAAGTGCTAAAAATGCTGAACGGAATGACGATAACTTTTATTGGTATCTTTCAAACAAATAGTTTGGATCAAAAATGTTAAGTTTTCTTTTAGAGATGGGAAAAGATTTCTTACCAGCTTAATTTTTTTCTTAAAGTAGTGAATATCTTCTTGTTTCCTTGTTGCAGCTAATAAAACAGATGGTGGAATGTGAATTAACACAAGCAAAATATATTTTTTCTAAATGGCCATTTTAAAAACACTTGCCATAAATAAATTGACAAAGCAGGTTTTTTCGTATCGTGATAGTGCATTCTACTGCTGCTGCAGTAAATGAGAAAATACTCTCAATGATTTAATACCCAAGAAGTTGGTATTTCAAACACCAAATCGCAATCTTCAGTGGGAGGATTGCTTTAAACATTTTTCTTTTTAAAATCCAGATGTACTTAGTATGGGACAGCTTGGAAATTATCTCACTCACTCAGACTTTTAAAATCGTTTTTTCACAGAAATGTATCCTGCTTTATTAATTAATGCATTATTCCCTAGGAGCTTTGTAATCCTATTAGTTTGGGTAGGGCAATACTAATAAGCATAATATTTTGGTTAACTCTTCATAGGATCAAAATCTTGGGGATTTTACTGTAAAAAGTATTTTATATTAGAAAATAATGTGCTCTTCTGATAATCAGTTTTACTAGAGCCAGCACTGTTTGCTTGTGCATTAGATAAACTACAAAGAGTGAACTTATTTGGAATGTAGCTTTTAATATGGTAATTTGTTTTTCATCTTTAATAGGTGAACTAATGTTTTGAAATGGCAATTTATTATTTATAATCATATATTGTGAAGAAAGATATGTATCATGGCAGAAACGATTAAGGCCTTAGTACAGTTTAAAACTGCCCTGTAATACGGATTTTATTTGGGCCTTACATTTTTTTTCCTTTTCTTTTCTCTTTTTTAAAAGTCATTGCTCGTAGGGATTTAATTATAGAAAGGACTATTCTTAACATTTTTTAGTTTCTTTTTCACCTGATTTAAACCTTCAAGAAAAGTGAAAATCCCCAGTTTCTTGGGAAACCATTAACCTTTTCTAGATAGCTATTGTGGTAAAATCCAGTAAGGCTTCATTCTGAAATCCTCTAGTACATGCTCTATTATTTGAAAGTAAAGCTCTGTGTAGTGAAATGGATAACTTCTAGGTTGATAGTGAGAATATATTTAATCAAGAATTAGTGGTAGATCTACTATATTTAAGGCTTTGCTTTAGTGCCAAACCAAATAAGGAAGAAATAAATTAGACTAGAATAAAGCATTTCTTAGATTGTTTCACATTTACATTTAAAAATCATACTTCTCAAAAATGTTAAATAAATGTACTCTAGAGCAAAAGACTTTGTGTTGTAAATAGTAGAGGGAATAGCCACATGTATGTTTGTTTTGTAGGTAATTTGTAGAGATTGTTTAACATTCCAGTCAAATGTTTGTGATAGATACAACCGGACCATATTTTACATTGAATTAGTCTTCTAAATAGAGTTTTAAACATTTAGAGGCACATTACATAATACTAAACAGTCTTTGTCCTTTGATATTGAGTGTATATAACACTACATGTACTTTTGTTAATTTGGCCAAAACATTTGGAGAAGTGAAGTAGCTAAAATGTAAGCATTTGGCTTATTAGGCTCACATTAGCCAGAAACGCTTGTTGTGTCAGTATTAGGCTTTCCCATAGCAAGTTGGGATTGTATTATATTTTGGAATTACGTTAGAATTAGACCACTTATGATAAACTTGCTGTGGTGTAATCTGAGTTTGAACTATGTTTCATAAATAGGAAGTAAATTTTTTGTGGTTATATTATTCAGTGCCTCATAAGAATTAAACCCAGTGGTGAGTTAAGTTTGACGATACTTGTAAATAAACATATGTTCACCCCATACATTTTGCATACATTGTATATGTATGTACACACACACATAATTGGAAATTGGAAAACATTCTAGAAACAAATGGAAGCATTGGAAAGCTGTGTAATATTAAGCCACCTAATGTTTATTTATATAGATGTGGTGTATATGTAATATAAAAATTTGTTATTCAACTGGCCTATGTAAAAATCAGCTAAATGACTTCGTAGTTGCTTCAACTTAATTTCCGTCTGCTTTCGCACTTAAAAGTTTATGATCATGAATTACATATTTTTAACACATTATGACACCATGCCTAGAATTACTCTCCTTACAAAACTTGTAAATTCTTCATTTTTCCCCAGAAGACCATCTCTTTTGTCCTCTTTCAACACTTTCCCTCTGTATTGCCTCAGTACTTCGTACATATGTATATCAGTTTTAAAATCATATAATATTGTGATTACATATTTCTATGACTGCTATTATGTAATCCCCCACTTTTGTTTATATGCCTAGCACATCCTTGATGGTAAATGCTCTACAAATGTAGTTGGATTAATGGAGCTATATTACCTCATTTTTTTGTTTTCTCTGAATATATGCATTTGAGATCACTAGCTGTGTTAGAAAAATAGGTTGAAAAATAGTATGGGAGAAGTAAATTATTACCTGTTTAAGAAGGCTCACCTAACTATTTTTTTTAAGAAAAGACTAAAATTGGCCTCAGTTTTGACATGTTGTGTTTCTGCAAGTTTGAGAAATAACTTAGATCAGGCTTCAAACTATCTGTTGTCATGTTTGGATATGCTTGGCCTGTGAGTTACACGATGTGTTTGAAGACCCGTGTTATAGCCACAAGGAGGTGGACATTTGTGTCTTTTTTGGCATAGGAAGCTCAAAATTTAAGAATACATATCTCCAGCTATTTATCAATTTTAAGTTCTTTAAATTTTTCTCCCTTTCCCCCATGGTTCCACATTAGTGCCAAGGGTGAGCAATTGATTAGGGATAAAGAAGTGAAACTGATCAGGAAAGGGTAAACAGCAGCAGATTCCATGATTTTAAAATGCAGCTGTTGGTGACTGAGAAGTGCCTAAGGGAAAAGTGTAACAATCTAGCCTTTTCTGTGGAGTTGTATAACTTGAACTTGACTAGTCTTACTCAGTTTGGGGAAATGATTGGTAAAGACAAGTCAGCTTTTCTTCTCCATCTTTCAGTAGGAACTGGAATGGCATTAAAAATGCCAGTTTAATAAATGCTTCACTCCATGTAAGACTCGTAGTTTATTTCAGATAATGTACAAAATGATTTCTAAAATGAATAATAATTTATTTGTAATTCTACTGTTAGATAACAGGTGTTAACATTTTGGTATACATGAAAACCTTTCTTACTATGTTGGTGATGAAGCATATTCATTTATTAGATTTTTACTATGTGGCAAGCACTTTTATA